GTGTTAATTAAAATCAAAAACCTCTTCGCAATGTAATGAAATTTATAAGAAATTCTGAGTATAAAAACAATAAATTGACATAAGCATAATCACAGTAGTAAAATAGTTTAGCTGGAAATATAAAGAGCTAAAGGAAGAGAAGATGTAAACTGTGATTTATCCTGGTTCGGTCCTTGCTGACCTATATCCAGTCCCTAAGCTCCTCCTGAGATTTTCAATCCACTATCTCCCTCAAGTTTAACACAGGTACTTGAGAACTACTATAACCACAAGTTTGATCTGGACACTTGTGACGCCACTTCCAATCCTTAGACTAATCAGTCTACTCAACAGCAATCTCACACAAAGGTAACTCCCCCTTACACACCATAAAGATACAATCTGATAATAATAATGAAGATTGAATGTTTCTTCTCTCAAAGAAGTGATAGATGAATCTTAAGCATGTTTGGGAAACTCTCCTCTCTATCTTATGAATGCATATGTTACAGTCTTTGAAGTACAGAGAAAGGGAGTTTTCTCTCGGAGCTCTAAATGAGAATATGTTGATTTGGCATTTTAGCATTTGATGTTGTAAGCTTAGACTCTTCCCTTTTTTTTCTCGTTTTAAATGCTCTTCTGTTTATATTTGATGTTGGGCATTTGACCGTTAAGCATCTTCTTCCCATTTGGCTTGAAGAATGTGACCGTTGAAACTAGCCGTTGGAAGCTTCTGACAAAAGTTGATTCTTCACATCATAAATTCATTGTGGTTCTTTACCTAAGATAATCTTCCTCAATTCAAGTGATAAGTATATGATAATCTTAGAAACAATAAGTTGGAAAACATAGAATCAATCATAAGATATTCAGATATTCAGAAAGCAAGATGAACTTACTTGATCGATGTCTTGATCAATAAGTCTTTCATCAATCATATTATCGATTAATTAACAAAGAGATAGATTCAACAATTGTATACATTTATTGAGTTCATTATGGATCATTCAATGATAGAACAATTGATCGATAAATGATGAAACATGAATACAGTGAGCCGTAGATGATTTATGCAAGAATAAACTTTTTCAAGTTACATTTGCCTTCATATCCTTTCAATAGAGAGTTATGTGTAAAAGGAAGGCTAGAAAAAGCTTAAAGATAAAAAGATAAAAGATTTCGAAAATAATGAAATTTTCTTAATTCATAAACTTATATCTAGACCCTTTTTGTAGTGTAATTTACACTATAAAAGATATTTTATATTTAGGACCAGAAAAGTATATAAAGCTTATTCTCTTAATTGTGAAATGTATGTTCTAACTACATAGCACAGAAAACTGAACTCATCGAGCCATAACAATTTCTAGCATTCCCTGATCTGAGGAGCTTTCTGGGAACTTTTGACCTTTAATCTGCTCTCTGAATATATACCAATAGCATTCTGCATGAAAATTTATTTCTCGAAGTATTATTTTTATTTCATTAGGAATCAATTGGGGTTATATATACAGTATACAACACGCCACTAGGCCAGTTTAACAAGAAGCTCAAGAATTTTTAAGGGAGAAACAGTAGCATATATAACACTGAACATATACGTTGTACATTCAGGTCTCCTACGTATGCTAGTTCACAGATATCAAGGACGAAAACATTAATTAACCAGTGTAGTGAGTCAGAGTTGACTGCAACTCTTCTTTCGTGTTTGGATTAGCTTTTTAAATACTACCTCCGGTCCTTAATATAAGACCCCGTTTGACTTTTTGTTTGGTCTTAATTATAAGACCCCAATCTATTTTTTCTCTCATTTATGTATTTTTTTCCAAGATAGTCCTTCTAATAATGATAGTTCTAACTAATACACTTAATTAGCAAGGATATTTTAGGAATAACAACACTTATTTATTACAAATAACTAACTTAACTTACTTCTTTAATCTCCTCAAATAAGTCAATTGGGTCTTATAATTAGGATCAGAGGTAGTATAATTTTACGGTATCCGAAGTAAGTATATGGAAAAAATTGTCTCAATTTATATAAAAGTTTTTTTTTTTTAAGCGCCTCTAAGAGGTTCTCAAACATCATAAAATTATTTTAAAAAAGTTAATCCAAACATCCTAATTGAGCATGAAGAGCTCATTTCTGAGAGAAAAAAAAGCTGGATAGCGTAATGAGCCCAAAAGAAATGGGCCTAGCTAGATTGGAAGATGATGAGGCAATATAAAGGGACAATAATATAAACTCAAATGAGGCTTTTATGAATTAGCTTCCAAGGATGCTTTTAGAAAATGAAAGGTTTTTCCTGAAAGCATCCCTTGTTGCAAAGGCAGAGTAGAAATGCGTTAGGTACAAATAATGAGTTTGGAATTAAGCTTGACACCAAATTGAAAAAAAAAAAACTTAAAATTCACTTACAACAGACGTAATTATGTTTAAAAAAAATTAGATATGTTCAATGGCCAAGAAAGACTTGAAAGTCTAAGGATGCTGCTATTCAAGCCTTCACAACCTTACTCAGTACTACCTCCGGTCCTAATTATAAGACCCAGTTGACTTATTTGAGGAGATTAAGGAAGTAAGTTAAGTTAGTTATTTGTAATAAATAAGTGTTGTCATTCCTAAAATACCCTTGTTAATTAAGTGTATTGGCTAGAACTACCATTATTAGAATGACTATCTTGAAAAAAAAAGCATAAATATGATAAACAAAATGGATTGGGGTCTTATAATTAGGACCAAACAAAAAGTCAAACAGGGTCTTATATTAAGGACCGGAGGTAGTACAACTTTAATCTAACTAACTAAGTTTCAAAGAAATCTCTTTAATGCGGCACATAGTTTTTCACAAACTTTCAAAATAATGTGCAGATAATAAATCACAAGAATGGTAATAGAAGAAATGATAATATGAAACTGATAATAGATACAATTTTACTAAATTCCTTTTTTATGAATTTCTAGTCTGCCAGATACCAAAAAAATTATTATTTTTTAAATAACATAGGTTCTGTATAAGTAATATTTCTGTTTACTAGAAGTTTCATATTATGCTTTGATTAAAACAAGTAACTGAATATTGTTAGTGATAAATTAGAGATAAAGGAAGAGAGAATTAGACGCCACAAGAATTATATTGGTTCGGTCCTTTGACCTACATCCAGTCCTCTTGAAAACTACTCAAGAGATTTTCCCAGCACTATAAAATTCCAATTACAAATCCAAATAAGTTCTACAAGGAACTCACCTACAACTCTTACAAATCACAGTTTTAAAATTTTTACGTGGCTTACTCATAATTGGTAACTAGAGTTTTACACAATTGACCCCAACCTAGTACAGCATATGCAAGAAGTAATTTACAATTGAGGAGGAAATTCAATTCTGCTTCATGACAATTGTTAATCGCATAATATCCACAAAGCCCTTAGTGTTGAAACCTGAAGAAGCCCAACACCAGAAAGAATCAAATTTTCTATCCAACATATATAATATGATTGAATGAACAAAAAGAAATGCTTCTTTTCTTGTAACAACCAGAAATAGTAACCATTGACAATTTTTTCCCTATAACTCATGACTTAGCTAAAGTGGTTCCTCTAGACATTAGATTAATAATGAGGCAAAATAGTGACCATTGAATTAGCTTTGTTACCTGCATTCCTTGCTTCTCCTATGACTCTGTCCTTCAAAACAGAGCAATTTGATCTACTAGCTCCCTCACCTATTTTGACACGATTCATTAAAGCACACAATATTAGAGTAAATTCAACAAAACCTGAAAAAATAACTAAAAAGTGGTTAGTTTCAAAAAAATGCATTACCTAAGGCGTGGCATCCTCAAGAAACATTGGCCATTGCTCTGCTTATGGGAAGTCAACAACATTCTGGTTTTGTCACTAAGAAAACACCAAAAAAAAAAAAAAGCAACATCCAAGAAAAGAAATAATTGTCATGAATATAAAATAAGATATTTATGTTCACTTGAAGCTTCATGTGTTGATTATATTAAATTAAAAACATTGAAATTATGGAAAATCCAAAAAAAAAATGACTGTTGAATTTCAAAATTTCAAATTAGAAATTACTACAAAAATATGTTGTCATTTACTTTTCGAGTGTAGTCATTTTCTTGATGAGTGTAGTAACCAATACTGATTCAAAATTTTGAAATTCAACAGTTATTTATTTGGAATTTTTCCTTGAAATTAATAAATTTCTCTATAAAACAATGACCTCTTTCAAACCAGGCTATAGCTAATCTTATACCTTGAAATACTAATCTGGAGTCGATGATGCAATAAAATCCTCAAGGACAAAGGAATATCAGCAGAAATCTGCAAAATTTTTATCATTCTTCTTTAAAATTATAAGAAAGCTGAACAAATATTTAACATAATAAAAATGGAGACACATCATTTTAAATTACCCACCTGTGTGACAAGGGTACATAATTCATATCAGGCTTCATGCCTACACATCTCATTATGCCTGCATAATAATTGTATTAAATTGCGTCAAATAAAGAAAGAATAATTCTAAATCTTGTTAGTCTTTGAAATCTATTGGCAAACAGAAAAAAGTTGCAATCCAATGAATTTGATCAATCGATCTGTTTAAAAATAAAGAACTAAAAGAATAGAAAAATAAGATCACAATATATGGAGGTTCGGATTCAAAATGAAAAATAGTGGCACTACTTTTTTTTTTTTTGAAAAATAGTATGTCTCTGTAGGAAAATAAAAAATTAATCGATTGTTTTACAAGATTCAGAGTTTTTTTCCCCTAAAACAATCTATTGCAGAAGCATTGTTCTAATGTTCTAGGTGAGCAAATTTTAATGGGTGCATATGTGGGATATGTCCTCATAAAATGTTGATATGGACTCGATGATCACGAAGGGAATATATCAAATGTGGATTGTGAAAAAGAAAAAGGAAAAAAAGAATATACTAATAGATACTAAAATGTTGAAATGTTGTGAAATTTGAGAACTCACATTTCGAAGCAACGCACAACCTCAAGGATCATAGTATTCACCATTAATTCGTATGGTGGGAATATGAGTGATCTTGGACAAGTGTTTGCCTCTCTGATAATCATATCTCTCTACTAATTTTGGAGAGTCTCTGATGTCCAAAAACAAAAGAGAGGATGGCAGCACATCTTCTGGCAAGGATTCAAGGTTTTTACAGTTCCAAATACAGAGTTGTTGAAGAGAAGCAAGGTGTTGAAGCCCTTTTCCTTCTAACAATTTCAGATTGGAGATAGAAACTATGTCAATACGCATAAGAGAAGTGGGTAATAGTTGATTCTTTAGTAAATTATGGAGAATGCATTCACTTTCATTATCCATAACTCTAAACTTCGAGAGGGAAGTTAATCGTTGAAACCCCCAGTCTTGGATTGGTATCAAAGACAGTCCATTGCAGCCCCCAATAACAACAACTTGCAAGTTAGCAGGCAAACCACCTTGAGGCAATGATTCCAACGTTGGAACCAAAATTAGAGAAAAGTCTTGAAGCTTGGCAAGAGAATCAATGTGTACGTCTGACATTGATCTAAGTTTGTCACAGCATTCGATCCAAAATAATTCCAAGGGAAGAGCAGACCCCCCAACATGTGCAAAGGTCTCCAAATTATGACAATGAGAAATTCTAAGCCATTTAAGCTTGGGAAAACAACCTAATGGAAAAGATTTCAAGGATGGACAACTATTATCAATACTCAGTTCTTCAAGTGATGTGTAGTTTTGCCAAGAATCCTGAGGTAGGAACTCTAATTTCTCACAATTTTCAATTTCAAGACGTTGCAAAGAAGTAGGCAAACCGTCAATTGGGAAGGACATGATCAATGGGATATTTTTTAGGAACAACTTTTGAAGACAATGGCTACTCATTATCATTCTTGGCAAAGATTGCAAGCTATCACACTTCTTAATTGTTAGAGACTCCAAAGAGTCTAGAGATAAATCATCAACTACTCTTAATAACCCCTGTTCACCTCGCTTAATGTGTAATTTTTGAATAGATGTAATCCACTGCAAAGCTATTGATTTTGCCTCCAATTGTTTGCAATTTGATATAGAAACCTTTGTCAATGATGGAAGGTTGTGGGGCATGTCTCCCCTCAGCATAGAACAATCACACAAACTCAAACTTTTGAGTCGGGGGAAAGGAAATTTGGAACCTTCACCTTCAAACGGTATCCATTGCTCCCAAATAGGCATATTTTCAAATATGAGAATCTCCAAGGATGGAAATGGCTGAAATGAAGAGCTCTCCGATTTGCTACAATAGAATTCACGTCCAACTGTATGCACTAATCCCATTCCACTAATCAAGAGCTCTTTGAGAGAAGGTAGTTCTCCAAATGGTGGGAGCAAAAGACAATTATTGCAATCAGTCACCCATAAAAAAGTAATATTTGTGAATGATGAATCTCCCACCCAATCAGGAAAGTTAGTGCCTCCATAATGCTTGATGGTCAATCTCTTCAAATTTGTTGAAGGTTGCAACATGTTGAGTATATTTTTCACAGTTTGTGAATCCTTAGCATCACAATCCCATTCCAACACTAACTCCTCTATCTTTTCTCTATTCTTCAAATTTGCCTCCAAAGCATCCATAGAATCAACAATATTTTGCAGATTCAAAATGGAAAGTTTACCTTGTAGACAAGAGAGCCTTTTCAACTCTTTAATTCCCAATCCATTCGGCTGTTTGCCCACAATAAAGGTACTCAAACTTTGAAGATTTTGTAACTTTGTAACTTGTGTGGGCATCTCCTTCAAAGCAGTTCCGCTAATATCCAGATGACGTAAATTAATGAGCTTTTCTACCTTTTCTGATAGTTCACTAAAATACTGACAATTTGATAAAAGCAATGTCTGCAAGTTGTAAAGTGTAAAGGCTACATCAGGCAACTTTTTGATTGAAGTGTGGGAAAGGTTGAGATACCGCAGAAGTTGCAAATTACCAATTGAAATTGGTACCTCAACAATGTTTTTGTACATTGGTAAGGACAATACTCTTAGACATTTCAGTTTTGTCAACAAATCATGGAGCACTTTTTTGGTCAAAACACATGTTGGTGACCAGCCTTTCAATTCATTTTGCGATAGAAGAGTCCTCAAACTATTTATATGGCAAAAGCTCTCACATTCTTCAGACCGACTATATTCTTTTAAGGAGAACGATAAATGTCGTATAGATTTTGGGACTTCATTTCCCTCAAATTGAACACATCTCTTGCCGGATACAAATTTCGCTAAATCATTAATGAGATCATGCATGACAAACTTTTTTGAATTACCACCATATTGTTCAAAGAATGACCTAGATAGCAATTCATTGAAATACTCTTCTGCTTCAATCTCAAATGTCTTCTCCCCATGGGATTGTTGCTGCACAATGCCTTCAGCCATCCATAACAAGGCCAATTTCTTTTTATCTAGCACAAGATCTTTAGGGAAAATTGAGCAATAAGCAAAACACTTCTTCAAATGTGATGGAAGATATAGATAACTCAAACGCAAAGCAGGCATAACATCATCATTTGGTATGTCCCACTGGTTGCTATTCAGAATTTTATTCCATTCCCTTGCATCCACTTTTGAACGCAGAAGACCTCCTATTGTTTTTGCAGCAATCGGTAGGCCACCACATTTTCTTGCAATTTTCCTTCCAATTGCTTCTAGCTCTGGATATTTCTTTGGATCTACATTTGCAAATGCATGTTTAGAGAGTAAAAACCAACAGTTATCATCAGAAAGGCAACTCAATTTATGTTCTGGAAATGTATGTGTGATTTCAACAACTCTTGGTTGACGAGTTGTTACAATGATCTTGCTTCCCCTTCTTCCACTATGAAAGGGAGTTATGAGATCATCCCAATCATTGTATTTTTCATTCCATAGGTCATCTAACACAATCAAAAACTTTTTATTGCTCAAGCTATTTCTTAATTCAACACGAAGAAAGTCTAGATTTTTACTATCATAGACTTTTGAGGTGATGGACTCAACAAGATTCTTGGTCACCTCAAAAACATTAAAATCATCTGAAACACAAGCCCAAGCCTTCAAATCAAAATGCTCTTGCACCTTGTTCTCATTGTAAAGGAGTTGAGCAAGGGTAGTTTTACCGAGGCCACCCATACCCCATATTGTGATCACTCCTAAAGCATTACCCTTTGGATCTTCATCACACAAAAGCATTTTCAATAGTTTCTCCTTATCATCCTCTCTGCCAACCACAACAGATTCATTTACCAATGACGTTGTGGGTGTTTTATGCGCTCTCAAGCTAACACTTTGCAAACCAAGGATACCCATTTGTTTGGCGAAGTGCTTAAGCCTTCGGGATGCTGCTTGCAGCTTGGAGTTCACCTCCCGGTTAGATTGACCAAAAGAAGAAGAAAGGAAAGAGTGCACCTTGTTAGCGACGTTTTGTGAATCTTGCTCCACCTTGCATCTGAGAGACTCTGTGTTGATCTCATCTAATAAATCCTCTGCATCATAGACAGCATCTTTCAACTCTTCAAGCCATTCCTTAACTGCAGGACTGGTGATCTGTTTAACCTCTGCATCATTCAGGACAGCACCAAGCATCAACAGAGTTATCTTCAGCTCATCCAAGAGAGAGACACTGAGCTTTCTATTTTTCATGAAATCTCGAAACTCGCTTGAGGAAATCATGTCGAGTAAGGTCTGCACAGAAGCAGAGAGAAATGCTTCTCCCATCTTGGCAACGAACTCCATGCCTTGTTTTGTCTGGTAACTCAAAGGTATTACTTTAGATGATGGACGAGACGATTGAGAATGAAAAGAGTTTGATAGGAAGCGATAATAGAGTGAAGCTGGTTTAGATTGATTGAGAGAAGACCTAAAAGAGGAAGTTTGTGGCTCGGAAGATTGTGAGAAATCTCCAGGAAGAGATATAATTAACAATTTGAATTCCGCATACTTCTCAATAAAGACAAACGAGGGCAATTGCGAGGAAGACAAGGACGCGTATTTTCAGTATGGTAGGCCATGCACAACAATCATTCATTGTCCTAAAATCTTTATTTATAATTGTTATTTTCAAATTTTGATTTCCTAAATTATTTTGGGTCTCTTAAATAATCCTAAATATCATTTTTACCAATTGTTTTGGCTATAAATACCCATTATTGTACAGGGAATGTGGAAGCTAAATGTAGTGACCTGAAGCTGATTCAGTGCTCTAATTATATAATAAATATTTAAAATATAAATTTTTTTTATGGGAGAATTTTCCTCAGCCAAGTGCTTCTCTGACTCAGATTCAGAGCACATATATCATAGAGGCAAAGAAGACTATGAACAAGATATGAATAATTACACCTCAGTTTCCAAGATATGAATTTTCTTAGAAAATTAAATTTAAAAGAGCGCCCCCGATGACTAGGTCAAGTTTGGAAAAATATCTGAAGTCCATGTATAGCTTCAAATGCATATAAAAATTAGAGTAAAATACACTAATTATTTCTCTATTTTATTAAATTATAAATTTTTTTTATCTATTTTGAAAACATATATAAATTTTTGTTAGAAATAAAATGTATGTTGCATAAACATTCTTTATATATTTAAATTCATTGTTAAGTTTGACTTTTGAATTTTTATTTTGACTAAAGTACCCCTCTTTAATAAACATTTATATTTGCTAAGGGTAATTTTTATGTAATAAAAAATTCTAATACATATATTTTCAAATTATTTAATGCGTTGTAAAATTTGCAAATTTTAATTATATCGTAAAATTTTCTAATTTTAAAATTTCCTCACGTTTGTTGAAATTTATTTACTTAAGTTTTTTAAATGGTTAAAAACATATTTTGAATGCCTATTTTTAGAATATTCAATTTAGATTTAAGTGCATGTTTTTAAAATAGATGACGTGTAAATTTAGATTTAAGTGCATATTTTTAAGATATATGACATGTAACTAAGACAAAATATGATGGAGATTATAGCACTTTACTTTAAAGATTATTCATAAAAATATAAGGAACATGTGCTAATGAAGTTCACATACTTTAATAATTTCTATTATTACTAATTCAAATATCTGGAATTCATTATATATCAGGATGGTAAAATTGATAAAGATATTTCTCATAAAATACAAATTGGGTGGTTAAAGTGAAAAAATGCTACCGGAATTATTTGTGATAAAAAGGTACCTAAGAAGTTTTAAAAAAAAATTCTATCGGATTACTATAAAACTAGCTATATTATATGGTAGTGAATGTTGGGCTCTAAAGGGGAACAAGAGCATAAAGTTGGGGCAGTAGAAATGAACATATTGAGATGAATATGTGGTTATACAAGAAAAAATAATATTAAAAAAAAAATATTAGAGCAAGAGCAGGCATGGGGCTTATTGAAAAGAAAATGATTGAACATTTTTTGAAAAGAGATAGGAAGATTGAGAAGAACGCTAAATGAAGTTGGGACTTTTTGATTAACAATGTATCTAAAAATTTGATTGTTGATAAATCACAATGACATTGTGTTATACATATAGTCACTTTACCTAATGAAATAATTGTTTGTTGTTGTTGTACTAATGTCATACTACCTCCTTCGATGGAGACATCCAATACCCCGTCGTGCTTATTAAACAAATAGTATTAAGTTGAAGACTACGATTAAATTAATCAACTTCTAAATTGCCCGTGATTGTCTGTGAAGATTTCTTTAAATTTTTGTTTTCATCATCTGAAAATGTTGATAAACAAATGTAACAACTTTTTTGGCTACAAAAATATCAACATATTTTTGCAATTATAAATGGAACGTGCTATTGGGGATTTAAGGAGGGTAAAACAAAGCAAGTGCCTATCTAGGTAATTTATTTAACGGTAAAATTTAACTTTTATTTCTATTTGAGCATTATTACATATTTACTTTATACTTAAGTAATATTTACATTATTTATTAATTTAGAATACTTAGTACTCCCTTAAAAAAATTTTAAAATGATAACAAATACTAGATTCAACTTAACTTGTTAAGTGATCAATCAGCTAAAAACATTATTCCATTTGATTTTAAATGTAAATCATTTTTAATTAATTCAAGCCTACATGTTGTTTCGGTATCATTTCTTTAAAAGTTGAACGAGAAGACTGTAATAGTAGACCAGACAATAATATTTTCTTCCCGAGGACAGGTACAATTGTTAGGTACATTTATATCGAACCTCATCAATTTTTTTGTTTTTTTCATACAATATTTTACGGATACATATTGCATGCAATATTCAGCCAGTTAAATGAAAGAAATTGTGGAAGAATTGACAATAGCATTGTACCGTCAGTGGGCACAGAATAGATAGAGAAAAAGACAATATTGATTTTAGTATTTATCATTTTTTTTAATTATATTTGTCACAGTTCAATGCCTTATAGTTTTGGTTTTGATATTTGGACAATTTTGTTGTGTTTTTTTTGTAAATGGCCAATTTTGGTTTTAGTTTATAGTACTTAGTCAATTTGGTTTTGCTTTCTCTTGTCTAATTTTCTTTTTGGTATAGAATTCATTGTATATGATTTTTAGTTTCTTAAAATATAATGTAAATTTATGTTCCTAATTTGCTAGCTAGATTGATATACATCTATTTTTTGTTATTTTACTCCCTTTTATTTTCAAAATCCAAGGATACTGTAAATCAACAATACTTGACAGTTATTGGTTACGACTGTCAAGTATTGTGGGAAATATTTGACGGTTATGACAAATAACTGTCAAGTATCTATAATAAATACTTGACAGTTATTGATCATAATCATCAAGTATCTGTAATATATACTTGATGGTTATTAGCAATAACCGATAAGTAGATGATATCAGAAGACTACAAATATACCGTCTCACATGTTTGATGGTTATTAACTATTTACAAATATTTGACGGTTTATAGTCATGAAAGATGAATAAAAATGATTCTCAAGTATTTAGATTTTTGTAGCAGTGGTGAAAAAACTGAGAATGCCATGTGGCTGCGCATGAGCAATTTTGATCAAACAAATTTATTGAACGGTCAAAATTTAACTTTTATAAGTTTTAGATAAGATGCACTATTTATTAATTTTGAATACTCTCATTGAAAAAGAGTTTGAGGATAAAAATGTCACCTAAGTCTTGTTTATTTAAAAATATAAATAGCAAATAAAAATATATACTGTATTTAAAAAAATAACGATAATGGATTTAAATAAACTTTGTTAAGCAACCAAGCAACTAAAATTATTAAGGAGAATTATTATAAAGTCTAAAAAATTTCATAACAACTGATGAACTTGTAATGACAAGTTTCAGTGTAGAAAATAATAAAGGTTTTTCCTTCTAATTATTCACTTGTTATTGGCAATTTTAGTAATTATATTCTTTTCATATACCTCTTAGTAATTCTTCCAAATTACTACTCCATTAATTTCAACCTAAATATAAGTTATTTTCAATTAATTTGGATGTAGATAAAATGCCATACGGAGTAAATCTTTGTTTCTTCAATATAGAAAATGAGTATTGAAAATGAAAAAATAGTGATAAAAAAGAATTCAAAAAATACTGTAAAGATAAAATTGTAGGAAATCTTTTGCCGGTGTTAAAAACCAAGATCGTATATTGTAGCACAAAAAATAAAATCTTATAGGTTTATTTTGTAGTTATCTATGTATGTAATATTAAATTGATGCTCAAATTTGACCATTATATACAATAACGATGGATATGACATAATTGGATAAATTATTGTCTAAAACTAAATAAATTAAATCATTCTGTAAAATTTAATTTTAAAATGATAATAATAACTAAATATTTGAAATATTATTAATAATGTAAAAAATTAATAATATTAGAATTACATAAAAAAAATTTAAAAAAAAATTATAAATGGGCCTAAACGGCTTTTACGCCCTTGGCCCTTCAGGGCCTGTTTCCCATTTGAGGGGAAAAATTTCAAGCCCGGCTCTCATAATTTCAGGGTCTAAACGGGTTCGGCCCGTTTTCCTGGCTCTATATAAAATCTACTGGAAAAAAAAGGAAAGATTTGAAAATTTGGAGTACTACAAAGAATATTAGAGGGGGGGCATATTAGAGGCGCTCAAGACTAATGATTATGTTTACTTGGAAAGTGAAACTTTCAAGAAATACATTGGGGCATGAAGCTGATTCCATATTGTAATTAACACTGAGGGCACGCGTTTACTTTCTCAAGTCAAGGATATATAGAAAAATTCTTTGAAATTAGAAAAACATTTTGCAAAAAAAGTAAAGAAGCACTGATTTTTGATTAAAATCAATTATAAGACTCTTAAACAATAACCCTTTAAAGTTTTTTCCCCCTTGAACTTCCTGTATAAAACAAAACAATGATGAAAAATCAAATTTCTATGTTGAGATAGTGGGGTGTTCAATAATTAAATGGTGGGTTATTTTTTTATAACTTAAGGGCATAAAAACTCACTTATATTTAGGAGGTCGCGGGTTGAATTCCACTCATAATTTCAAGCTGTTAGTGTAAACCTACATCTCTAATTGAAAAAAATATGCAACCTCTACGGTATTAAATCACATTAAACTCTAACATACATATTTTCAAATACAAGGGGATCAAAGAAGGACGTGTATTTTTAATATGGGTGGCCATTCACTAGTTGTTCAAAGAGTACCCAACAACTATTGATTTTATATATTAATTATATATATCTTTTGGAGGCATTCTT